ATAGCCTGTAGAAAGCATCGAATAGATTTGAATATTTTGTATGATCATGCACCCAATTTATTCTTGAAAAATGTCCAGTCTTTTGTTACACAGATAGCAAATGTTGATTTTTTAAATTTATTTTTGTCAAATTTAAGGTATTATTTGGATTTTTTTATTATTTCAGTTTATTGTTAAAGATTATGAATATTGAATTTTCTTTTCATTATGTAGAAATGAAGATGTAATTCAAACTATGTACAGAACAATAACAAATAAATTACTTCTATTAAAGATCTACACTAAATAGGATTAAATTTTATCATTCTTGTCAGTGCTCAACAAAACGTGACATCAAAAGTTAATAATATATGTGATGCTGTGAGAGCAGTATTGGAAACTTTAGATTCAAAGAAATATCTTCAATCAATCATAACAACATATGTACGTCACACACCGCCTGATTTGGAACCTGCATTAAATTTAATTGCAAAAATAAAAGGTTAGAAAAATAATTTATTTTGAAAGAGCTTGATGCTTATTGATATAAATAAGTATATAAATTTTAAATGTATTTTAAGATCAAGATATGAATCTTTCTGAGGAGGCAATTAAGTTTACAATATTTTTGATTGATGCGGATCGTTTATTTGATGTTGCATTGGGGATGTATGATTTTAATCTCGTTATCATGGTTGCTCAACATTCTCAAAGGGTGATTTTAATAATAATAAATTCATTTATTATAATTAATTTCTTTTTGCTTTGGTTCTTTTATTTACTGCAAATTGTAAATTGTGATTTTTTGTTTATAGGATCCAAGGGAATATTTAACTTTTTTAGCAGAATTGGAAAAATACCCAAAATATTATCAAAGATTTAAAATTGATCATCATTTAAAAAGATACGAAAAGGCTTTGGATAATTTAAGTTTAGCTGGTATATATATGTGTGTGTGTGTGTGTGTGTGTGTGTGTATTTGGCGTTTATATAACTTAGTACATTAAGATTTTTTTAAAAAATTATAGGAGATGAGTATTTTGATGAACTTTTAAAGTATACTCAACAATACAATCTTTATAATTTTGCCGTTAAATTATTTTCAAATAATAATGATAATAAGGAAAAATACAAGGTTTGGTTTAAATGTAATTCTTTAGTTGGTTATTGTATCTTTACAGGAAATATAATATTTGCTATTTGTAATAATAAATTATTTTAGAGAGTTATGAGGATTTACGGAGAATATTTATTTAATGAATCAGATTTTAAAGAAGCAGGTTTAGGTAAGTAATTCTTTAAATCACCACATATTATATAATATATTAAAATCATCATCATCATTATTAAAATGATTTTTATTGTTATAGCCTATTTATTATCTGATGACAAAGTTAATGCGCTTGAAGCATATAAAAAATGTGGATTTTGGCGTGAATCATTTTCTATAGCATATGAGTTAAAATATTCAGAAAATGAATTATTTTCATTGGCCAAAGAATTTTCAGGTGCATGCGTGTATGGGAAGAGACGGAGAGGGAGTAGGGAGTAATTAAAATTATTAAATTCAATAACTTTTTTGGTTATAGAAATTTTATCGGAAAAAAGAAGATATCAAGAAGCAGCACAGATTTTATTAGATTATGCAAAGGTTTTGTCTTTCTCTCTGATAATTGATTTTCTAATATTTTATTAATTTTATTATTATTCTGAAATAGCAAACTGAAGAAGCAATATTATTGTTTAATAAAGGTCATCATTGGTCTGAGGCTATGCGTATCGTAAATATACATATATATATACAATGAGAATTATTAAATTTACTAATAATATAATCTAATCCAATATGTATATGTTTAATAAAAAAGTCACATATGTATAATCGTATAGATCTTATTGAAACTGATATAAAACCAAGTGTGATCGAAGGTTTAGATATTATATTTTAAAAATAATATTTGGATGATCTTTATTTTTTAATTAATTATATTATTATTTTTATTATTATTATGTGAAATTTAGGGTTTAATAATTTATTACAAGATGTTAATTCTATGCTAGATCAATTGAACCATCAGACTGCTCGATTAAAAGAAATAAGAATAACCAAACTTAATCAATCAGGTAATTTTTTCCCTCAGAAGAAAGATTTTTTTTATAATGATAAAAGTTCAATTGTAATTGATCACAATCATCGACAATTAGTGGATCAATTTTACGGTGAAGAAGTTTTAGAAGTTTCAGATAATGTTGATGTGTTATCTGATACAAGTTCAATGGTGAGTGGATTTTCTCGATATACACAATCAATAACACAATTAAGCGTTAATACTAATAAAAGCGGGTAAGGAATTATTATTACTAATAATATTTGATTTGGATTGGATAGATGGAGAATTCATACATGTGAAAATTTTATTATTCAATAACTTGCTTTTTTTATCAAAAAAAAAATAATCATTTGTATGTAGAAAAAGCGCAAAAAGTAGACGTAGAGCTGAAAGAAAACGTGCTAGAGGTAAAAAAGGAAGTATATATGAAGAAGAATATCTTATTGATTCTTTGAAAAGATTAATTGAAAGGTTTAACAATACCCAAGGTAATATAATATAGTGCATGATAATATTATCATCATCGTCGTATTAACTTTTAATTAATCAAATCGCATATTATTTTATAGTTGAAATATCAAATTTATCAAATTGTCTTTTAACGTTTGGATATATTAAACATCTACAACAAATTCAAAATTTATTTGGCGATCTAGAAGAAAAAATTCAAAATAATATAAATGAAATATTTGTTCATCATCCTAATCTTACTAATAATATTAATATTAATAATAATATTAATTCATCAAATAATTTAGAGGTATTCAACCTGATATAATTATTTTTCAAATATATATATTTTTTAATACTAAAATCACCTTCTTTCTCCTATTATTATAGACTAATTTAGAAAAAAATCCAATTGAACCAAAGATCAATATTGAAAAACCGAAACTTGAAAAAATAGATTGGAGATTAAAGATTATTTAAAAAAAATTATTATTTTTTTGTTTCACATTTTATAATTATAAAATTAATAACATATGGTGCGTATCACCTATACTCATCAAAAAATGCCGATCAGTCCGAATTTTTGAATGTATATCTTAATCTTATTTGGTCAAAAAAATTAAAGAAATTCTAATTTTGTTCAATCCTTCTATTACTCCATCTGGTATTCTCCTATGGGATTTATATTTTTGACAGCATATACTGCCAATTTAACATTAATTCCTTTTCTGTATAGTGCCAGCACTTTCTTGAAAATCTTCTAATTGTAATTAAAGGTACTGATTCAAGGCTCTCAGGCACTGCTTTTTGTAATCCTTGCCAAGAATAATCACAATTTTCACGCAAATGTCATTTGGCAGCACCCCAATATCTCTCAATAAAGTTTAGCTCACAATGGAACTTGGGGAAAAAAATACATGACCTGCATTTTCAATTAATTCTTCAACTGCTCCCCTTTGTGCAAGAAATTCAGGTTCCAAAGACATTACTTGACAAGCACAACAAGAAACTCTTGAAAGATCTCTTTTCTTTACAATCTTTGCATTCTAATACTAGTCCTTCAGTTGGCCATTTTCCTCATTCCTCTAACACTTGTTTAATTCCTTTAGGTTTTCCTTGAAGTTTCTCATCAGGATGTGTTTCTGGAAAGGTCATTGATTGTAATTGTTTATTTGGTCCAAAATAAGTGTCTCACATAAGTGGTTGCTTGCCACCTGGATTGAGGTTCATTTTACTAGCAACCAAAGCATCTTTGTTAAAAGCAGCATGACAAGTGCTGTTGTCAAAAGCAAATAAAGCCACACAACCTGGATATAAGGCTTCAAAAATAGGAATTGCCTTGTATTCTATTTGGTCAAGAAGGTGTTGAATTGTCAAGTAACCTTCCTGATTAATTCCAGGTTTTAAATAACATTGGGCTTCCTCAGGTACATAGGGATGTTGTGCAATATCATTTTGTTTCAAACAAAGACGTCCATTAACTTCAGTTAAAAAATCACTTACCATAATTGATCTTCCATTCCCTTTTTTTCGCAATGGCATTTCTCCATCTTTAGTCCACACTCCACGTTTACCATCATTTGAATAGAATATGCATTCATCCTGAACTACAAGTATTATTTCTTTCTCTCCTTCAAGTAAATAAGGGCATATTTGATCCATAAATTCACCATCAAATTTGGACATATACTTTTCATACTCAAACATTTTTTCTAAAAATTCTTTCCGATATTGCACAACATCCTCCCTTTCATGTCCATCATAATATATACCTTTATGATGTTGCTGAAATGAGTAACCAAGAACATTCAGCCATCTTGTTTCAGTCATTAAACTAATGTTTTTTCTTCTGGCAACTCCAATTTTAGGGTGATAATTCTTCTTGAATAAAATTTTTAAATTTAGATGGTGTGGCATTATAATTTTGTTCATGAAGCCAAACTCTACAC